CATAGGCATTCTTTAAGGGCCTACTATGTAGCAGGCACTGTACCCAGCCCACACTGAATTGCCAGTATAGGATGACACTGCTAAGCAAAGATGCCTTTTTAAAACTAAATTAAGATGTGTTTTAGAATTAAAATTAAAATACAGTCCCCTTTGTTTCAAAAATAATTTGTCTTTAAAAATCCATGAGATAATTTAAATTGCTTAAAAGACAAATAAATCAAGTTAAAGGTAGAGTGGGGTCAAAGAGGAAGGAGAAAGGGAGAAGGGGTATGTGTGTGTGTGTGTGTGTGTGTGTGTGTGTGTGTGTGTGTGTGTGTGTGTCTTTGTGTGCATGTTACAGAAATTTATCTCACTGGGTGTGAGCAGTTACAAAACTGGGCCATGCTTATTTCTTTGAGCTTCTGAGTGTCCATATCAAAAAGAAAAACATAATCAGCTGCAAAATCTCTGCTGTTCTTAAGTTGCTGAAAGTACAGGTCTTTCTGGTGCTGAAAGCTAAAGACTTTCAGTATGCAGAAGCTGGGGTGGCTCCAGGTTATTTCTCTACTTCAGTTCAGTCACACTGGCCTTTGCTGCTCTGGAGCACCCAGCACACACCCGCTTCAGTGCTGCTTCCTAAGGGTTCTCTCCACCATACCACCCTTTCCCAGAGCACCCTTCTCCATCTAGACAGTCTGGTCCCTCTCTCACCACCCTCTTCCCCATCCTATAATATTTTTCTTCATTGCAATCAGCACCCTCAACATTTACAAATTTATGCATCTGATTGTTTTCTATCTTTGCCCTTTAGAATGCAGATCTATTAGAGAAGAGAATGTGTCAGTTATGTTCTCTGTTATAACCTCAATACTGAGAGCAGGATACAGATTAAGCACCAGTAAATATCTGTTAAATGAATAAATGAATGAGACTTCAGCAGGTGTAGAAGTCAACATTTTTAACAGCCTGCCTTCACCAAAGACAAAGCAGATTTGGATATTCGCTCTTTCAGATCTCTCAACGTGAGCCAAAAGCAAACTATTACAAGCCACTTGAGACATGGCTGTGGTTCCAAACATTTCAGGTCACGCAGGCTTCTTCCAGATAAGTTGCTGTTCAACCCATCTCCCGAGTGGAAATTCCAGTGAAGCCAAGGAAAGAGGGGATGGAACCCTCCTGCCACAAATGACATTGATCAGGAGCAGGCCGTTGGGTACAAGTGTGGGTGCTCCAGGTTCTGAGGCTTGATACATAGTTTGTGGGATGGTCTTCCCCTTAGGACAGAGAGCTATAAAGTAAAATAGACTGTTGTAAATGGTCTTCTATTTCTAAAGCATCTGTAGTTTCCAAGTGGCCCCAGGTGTGCTAGTGCAAACAAAGTTTATCTCTAGTCATAAGTTCAAGAGTCAAGGCTCTGAGAGGTTCTGTGAATTGCCTAAGGTCCTTTTCAGCAATACAGAGATGGATCCTGTCTTCATTATGCCACTTAATGGCTGAAAAATTCTTAATTTTTTTAGATTCAGTTTCTACATATATATACAGCAGGGCTACAATACCTGTCTAATGCAGCTGTTATAAACTGAGTTATTCATGTATTAACTTATTCAATCAATGAGTCTACCAGACAACGTACCAAACTAACAGTGTTTTCAACAACTCAATGCACTGAGGAGACAGCCAAACAAGATGTGGGCCACCCCAGAAGGCTGGCCAGCCCAGCCAAGCTCATTTTTAGCCTTCCCCTCTATGCTTGGCTCTTTCTCCATATTCTTTGAAGCCTATGATTCCTGAAACTTGGAAAAAGAAAGCCCCTTTCCCCTGGCTGCCTGAGCGGTTGCAGGCAGCCCTTTACTCTGCTCTTCTCCCCCATGCCTGGTGACTCTGCCTCCCCATCAGTCGCTACCCCAGTGGACAACAGATTGTGAGCAAGTGGGATTTGGGTTCTACCTCATTTTCCAAAGTTGCATGAGATGAGACTTGGGATTATATAATGTGTTTTTCAGCTGTCTACTCTACCTTCCTGGGATCCCTTCCCAGGTTCCTACAGTTACTTGTCCCATTGTGGAGATAAGGGAATAAAGACTCAGGGAAGTTGAGTAAATTGCCCAAGGTCTCCTGATCCTAAGGCTATGTCAAGCAACAACCACAGTCTGCCTCTGAAAAAGTGGGTGACTTCAGCATTAGAATATATCACAGATTGCATATTTCAAAAAGAGCCTAGTAACATTTCCAGACCCACTTGTTCTTGTGTAGTCTTGCCACCATCAGGAGGTGGAGGTGAAGTCTCTTTCCCTCCTCTTGGACTTGGGCAGAACTTTGTGTCTGTCTTGACTGAGATGACACTGCATGGCTTCTGAAGCTAGGTCATAAAAAGCAATGCAGCTTTTGTCTATTTCTCTCTCTTTCTCCCTCTCTTTCTTTCTCTCTCTGTCTCTTTCCCTCTTTGTCTCTCTCTCTCCCCCGTTAGCCCTTGAAACCCTGCCACCATGCTGTTCACATGGGGAAGCTGTGTGTAGGTGTTTCAACCAATAGCTCCAGGAAAGGTCTCAGACTAAAGCCAGCCAGCAGCAACCACCAGACATGTAAGTAACTGAACCTTCCAATGATCCCAGCTGAGGTCCTAGACATTGTGGCACAGAGACATTTCACTCTCCTGCTGTGCTCCAAATTTCTTACAGAAGCTTCTAAAAAAAATCAATGTTGGTGGCACTGAGTTTTAGGAGGATTTGTTATGCAGCTTTCAAAAAATGGGTTAGAATTTTCCAACAGCTCTGTCCCACATAGTCAGGAAGGCCCACCACAATGACTCCTGGAAATGGAGTAATGTTTCCGCCCCTTTGCTGGGCTCACCCACACAGCTGCTGCTGCACAATGGGCTAGTGCTCCTGAATACACCTGACTCCAGAGGAGAATAGGAACAAAGGGTCAACCTAAGATTTAGCCCACTATAGCCTCAACTTGGAAGCCTAAGATTTAGTACACTATAGCCTTAAATGCTCAGAAGAATATGAAATTCGATCAACTCTAGTGACAGACAACAGAAAGTAGATGCAGGTCATGGGGTTTGAAGCAAACAACTGATGCTTCCTAAGGAGAAAAGGCTCTGGGCTCACCTCTGTCTTACACTCAGGGTCCTTGGCCTGCCGCCCAGGCATCAGCCTTATGGCTGAGGACAGGCTCTCACTCCATGAAGTGACTTTGCTGTGGTGGGAGACATTCGAGCGACTGATCAGCAACTTCTTCTCTGAAGCTGGGAATGGGAAAGCAAATATTGTCAGAGGTGAGATGTGAGCACATTACTACGGTTGGCTTAGCTGCCAAAAGGACAGCCAGGGGCCTGCTTTGCCTGCCTCCAATAAATGAAATAGCCTACGCTACAAGCTTATACTACCATCTTCTGATTTTTCCCTTGGCTAAGAAACACTGTGGGCTCTGAGGTCCCCAGACCTGGCTTAAACTTCTAGTTCGATGGCTTGTTGACTCACAGTAAGATACTCAAGCCGGGCTCGGTGGCTCAGCCTGTAATCCTGCGCCTTTGGGAGACTGAGGTGAGCTGATTGCCTAAGCTCGCGGGTTCAAGACCCGCCTGGGCAACTTGGCGAGACCTCATCTCTACAATAAATAAAAAATCAGCTGGGCGTGGTAGCGCACACCTGTAATTCCAGCTACTTGGAAGGCTGAGGCGGAAGGATCACCGGAGCCCAGCAGGTCGAGGTTGCGGTGGCCAGGAGTGGCTACTGCACTCCAGTCTGGGCAACAGAGTGAGACTCCAACTCAAAAAAAAAAGATACTCAGTGAATTAGCTAAAGTTGTTGAGGCTCAGTTTTTTTGTCTGTAAAATGGGAATAATAGTATCTAAAATCATTGGAGTGTCATGAAAATTAAAATATGTGCTTAAAGAAACTGGAACATAGAAATTGTTCAATATATGGTTGGTGGCAAAAAGAGAGCCATTTATAAAACTTCATGGACCATCCTGTTTTATTCCGCTGTATGTGCATGGATATATATAATATTGTATTGTATTATATTGTACTTTTCCCTGAACTGGAATCTAACATTTTGGCTTCAAATTGTACATGAATGTACACATAGGTATCGCTATAGTTTAAATGTTTTCCCTCAGAAATTCATGTTGAAACTTAATACCAATTGTAGGAGTGTTAAGAGGTGGAACCTTTGGGAAAGTGATCAAATTATGAGGGCTCTGCCAACAAGAATGTAATAGGGCTTTAAAAGGAGCTAGAGGGAGCTAGTGTAAGCCCTTTTTTGTCTTCTGACCCTTCCACTGTGTGAAAACACATCATTTCTCCCCTCCAGAGGCTGCAGCAACAAGGCACCATGTTGAAAGCAGAGACCTCACCAGACACCGAATCTGCTGGCCACTTTGATCTTGGACTTCCTAGTCTCCAGAACTCTGAGCAAATCAATTTCTATTATTTATAAACTTCCCAGTTTGTGGTATTGTGCTATAGCAGCACAAATGGACAAAAAAACCACTTAGATAAAGATTCTATGCCACTGGACAGTCTGGGACAATATACATGGAAATGACTAACTCTTGAATCATTGTGAATTTTGTGACACCATAACACTTACAACAAGTTATATGAACCATAATTTGACAACAATGACCTTTTGAAAAGAAAAATTAAAACCTCGTTCTTACAGCTATGTTTACTAATAGGAGGGTTATGTCACTAACAGAATGCAAGAGAAATAAATATTTGGGGAATAAAAAATTGTACTTTATGAAGTGACAGGACATGAGGAACCTGAGGGTCAAGGTCATTACATGACATGGTACAAGGTTCTAAAGCCAGTAGATGAATACCAGGGCAGAATAGATAGAACCCCAAGCTCCTGAGCCCAGGCCACAGCTTCTACACAGTGGCCCCTCCTATCAAGGGATTACTAGAATCTGCTTGTTTGGTAAGAACCCATGACCTTCCTTTCACTTATGATGCAACGTACACTCATTTTTGTGAGAAAAGGTACGTGAGGTTTCAATTATTTAAATCCTATCCACTGAAGGGATAAGGCATAGGGTCTGGGTGGAAAAGGCTGTGGGCCCTGAGTGGAACCTTGGAGGATTGTGGCTTTATGAGACCCAGGAGTTCCCATTCCCTGGAACCAAGTGGACAGAGACCTAAGTAATGCTGCCAGGCCTTGAACATCATCTCCTCCCAGAGTGGAGTGACGTCTTCAATCTTCACTTCGCTTTCTCCAGGTTTCACAGAGAGATCAGTCTTGAGGGCATCCTCCAGTGCCTGTCCCCTCTGTGCCACAAGTTGTTGCCAGAGAGTCTGCACTACCTTCTGGATGTTGTGCTGGACTAGGAGAAAGAGCACATGGCAGAATCAGAATGGCCCCAGAGGTTCCTCCAGAGAGGGCTAGGAGATGACATACCATGAATGGTTTTACCTGCATCCTTCTCAGTGTCTTGAACATCACCCGAGCTTTGCAAACTCCAGCCAGAAGCAGTCAGTATGGAGAACCACAGGACTGACAACAATACTACTGACATTATGTGAGCTGACCTTTTGGCACCTCTGACTGCCTACAACCAAGTCCTGCCTGCTTCACATGCTCAGGTCTGGGAAACATGATTCTTCTTTTCCTAACCTCCAATTCTGTAGGATACTAGAGAGATACCTTATGTGAACTCTAGGTAACCAACAACTCCTTCTAACCTCCCCTTATATGTCAGCCATTTAGGGGAATGGACACCAAACTCAATACTCCCAGGAGCTCAGGACTCAAGCCAGTCCTCTTTCCTAGCACTGAATCATGCTTCCTACTACCCACCCATCTCAATACCCTGCATTTCCTTGGATATGGACAGATCTACCAAGACAAATCTCCCTGCTGTGCCCTACATCTGTAATTCCCTGAACCACACCTAAATTTCCTGATCTTGGACCAGTGGGTCCTCCCTCTGGTACCAGCCTCTGAAGACTGGTTCTTTCATCCTAAGAGGATGAACAATACCAATCAGCTCTACTGACCAAGTCCCAGAGTGTGTACACTCATGCAATACTGCATCAGTATAAACTTTAAAGTCACAAGAATTTTGAGCACTGGCTTTAGGTACCTATTTGACCAGAACACAGAGGCTCTTGTGTATTCGACCTTGTATCACAAGTTAAGTGGTACAGTATGCAAACCAAAGTGGCAGAAGTTCTGTTGAAACCTCTGTTTCCTGGATCAAGAGAGAATATAATCTCTCAAATACATAGAACTGGCTTTTATACACACACACACACACACACACACACACACACACACACACACACACACACACTGCTAATCCTTTTAACTTGATTTGAGATAAGTAAATTCAAGTATAAATTTCATTAAGCCAAAAGTCTTATAGAGAATAATGAGTTTATTTACTCCTTCCTCATTTACTAGGGAAAAAAGTCAAGAGGTAACTGGGTGACTTGAACTAGGTGAGATGGCATGCCAGTTTCAATTTATAGTGAAGTGCTAGTGATTAAACTTCAAGTATAAGTCAAGTCCCACAGAGCTTTCTCATCCATCCATTCCTTTTCATTCCATTAGCAATATATAAAGTATATACATTATATAATAGCATTGTGTATATATATATATATGATAGTATTGTGTATATGTGTGTGTGTATGTTACATAATAGTATTGTATAGCAATATACAGAGATCATTCCTGTGTTATTTTATATCACATTACCTTGCTGTACTGTTTATTACATTTCTCTGAGATTTCCTAGGTCTTCTTGCTTTAAAAATATCCTTAATAGTATTTGCTTTTTTATCTTGAAAATAATAAACTGAAGAATGCAACCCACAACCATCCCTCCAAAAATTAAACAATGAATAAAATATACCATCACTCAAACTTGGGAAGTCTTCTCTTTTTTCTTTCACGTCTTCATTTGGGGAAAGGAAGACTTGATGATAAGGAGACATTCTAGGCTTGGGATCCAAACCAAATCCTTCTGGATAACTAGTAGACAAGACATTTTTCACTATAAACTCCAGGTTCTTTGGGACCATTCCATTGTTCTTTATGATGAATAATCTCCCTCCAAACTCACCGCATATCAATATGGAAAAAAATCGTCTAATCAAATTAAAGCAAATCCTTTATCACAACTTCCACAGCAGATATTATACAATGGCAATCTGGATAGTAGGAAAACTACCTTCTCATTAGTAGTCCCATCTTGTGAATTCCTCTCCATGCTCATAGTAAGACCCCTGAGTCCTCTCCTGGATTTCCATCATCAGAACTGCTCACTTCTTTTGGTGTACTCCCAAAGCATTGAACTCTGCCTTTGTTTGGCACTGATTTCACTCTGCCTTGAATGGGCCCAGGGCCACTTTACAGGCATGTGACCTGTGCAATTACACAGTGCACTATACTCAGAAGGGCCTTGTCCTTGGGGTCTGCTGTCACCATCTTAAAATTTTTAGTAAGTTTTGTACACAGGTCTTATGTTTTAATTTTGCTGGGGGTGCCATACATAATATAGCTAGTTCTAAAAGAAGGAACAATAGTTTATATGTTAGATTTCCAATGAACCCTGTGCTCTGTGGTGTCCCAATCATATTAATGTCCTTGTGCCCACTATGACAAAAGCCAAATATACACTCAGTAAATGTTTATGGATTGAATTGAAAATGACAAATGTGAAACAAACAAACAAAAAAACAACATAAGAGAATGTCCATTTTTAAAAATTCTAGACGTAGGCCACCTTGGGATTGAAGGCATCTTGCTAAATGAGGAGTGTGTCATTTCAAGCACACAAATCAGTTACCATTCTGTTCTTCTTACCTGTGTTTTCAGGATGGATAGGGCCTAATTCTTGAAACATAAAAAAAAAAAACCCTATCAAAATGTAACCATGCACTGAAAATGAATTATTTTATTTCAGACAAATAAAAAGACAGGTGTCTCCTCTGGGCTAGGAAGGTTCCTCAGGGCTTCCCAGAGAGTTTTAAGAGAACACTAGTGTTTTGTACTTTTCAATAGTCAATGCTACAGGATTTGGGATATGTTTTTTCAAGTAATCAAACTTACAGTTTGTATTAGGATTAATACAATAAAGAAAAAGGACAACAGCAAAGTGTAATACCACATCATTTTCTCTTCCTTTACCCTCATAAGAGATAATATTCATAGGCAGTGTGACATGAGGTGCTGGTGATGTGATATGCAGATATGCATACTGCCACAGAGACAAAAAATGAACATATGTAGAAGAATCTAACATATTTTCAAGCTTGGGATGCCAATAAAAGGATTTTATAAAGCTTAATTTAATAGCTTTATGTTAGTGTTCTTTAGGCTGATATTCTTATGGATATCATTTTATATCATATATTGTATGTGTATATAAATTTTTGCTGAGAGAAAAATTATTCCTGGCTTGCACAATATCATGTATTATATATTTTTTTCCATGCTAAGATTGTGTTTATCAAATGTTAATGTTTCTGGGATCTGGCTGCATCATGAAATCAATATGTACATTTCATGTTGGTATTTTCTGCTTCAAAAATTAAATCAACGAGGTATCTTACAAATTTAGAGTTGTAAATAGGGTAAATTATTATTTCATGATTATTCTAGCTGTTTGGTCACATGGACAGGTTAGGAAATGACTTATATTGTCAAACACTGCACATAATTTAGACAACCAGATAAACAAAAGGATTATATCATTTATGTCAACCTCAATCAAGTGTCCCTCTAAATCCCTCTTTTCTGCATTGACCACCAGCAGAAACAAGTGAGTCCTCTTACCTTCTTGCATTGAGCAGTAAAAGGCAATGCATGAGACACAGGAGGAAGCTGACATTGGAATTGTAGGTAGCAAAGATAACATCCCAGTGTTCCTGTAGAAAGCCCAGGGTGCTGAGAAGACTGAGGCATTCAGAGAAGGACTGCTGGGGCTTGGAGAGGCAATAAAGAATGACTTTATTTAAACTGCTGTATAGAGCACTGACAACAGTGTCCCTTTGAGAAGAGGCAGTCTCGATGACCTGTGTCATAAAAGACAATACACACATACACGTACTTGTGAGTGCTTGGCAATATTAGATACTCACTCAATTTACCATAAAATTAATATAATCAACAAGTGACATGACCTGAAACGCACATGGGACTAGTTTCAATTGAGCTTCTATTTAAGTGAATGATCAATTAGGGATATTCAGAAATTGGGTAAAATCTTGTGTAAAAAGAAAAAAGCTAAAATTTTGCCATGGTCATATTATGGAAATCAGATTTGGTGACCGGAGATTGCTGAAATACTGGTATCATGATTGACTTTCAATGTATGAGAGCATGCTATCAGTAGTAAATAATTTTGAAAAATAGATGTCGTTATTAATAATAGCTATAATATCTAGAGTGTTCACAATATTCTGGGTATTATGCTAAGCATTTTTGCATGAATTTGCATGTGTTGCCTCATTTAAATGTTATAAGAACACTGTGAAATAGAGTGTCAGAGAGATTAGGTGGTCAAACCCAGAGCAAAAGTCAAACACACTCTGGACACTTGAGCCATGCTCTTAGCCACCATATAATCTAAAGGAGATGAAGTCTAGTGGATTTTAGTTCATGAGAAACTTGAACAGAAGGTCTTGACTTATAGCCTTAACACACATTGGTCTATGTATGTGTTTGCCTTCAGCGAAAAGAATACACAAAACAAAATTACATGAAGATTTTCAGTCCATTAGAAAAGTCACTTGTTAGTTATAGGTTACTCCCTTAGAATTTCATTGGTAATACAAATGCTTCCACTAATGAAGTTAAGTTCTGTCTAAACTTGCTGGAATTTGGGAGTCATGTGATTATCATCATCCTCCCCTACTCCTCAGGTGGGTCAGACCTCTCAGACTAAGGCTCAGAGTTGCAGGCGTCGCAGGCAGCAAGCATAAGAGGAGGCTGGTGAATGTGTGGAGAGCTGAGAGCCCTAAGACCTGGTACCCCCTGAAGGCAAACCAGTCCCCATGGGAACCCACTTTTTTATATTCACTCTGAGTAAATTCTTTAGCCTCGGGGAGCTTGGCAGCTCCTTTTCACTCTCAATACAACTTTCCAATAACTGCGAGAATTAAAACAACTTTCACAGAACTGACAAGAGACACTTCTCCCCTCTAGAAGTAATTCCTGAAGAAACCTCTGAATACATTCTTTCCAGGTTTGTCTGGACCTGCACATCAGATAAACAGACAATCTCCTTGGGGATTGTGCTGAGGCCCAGTCCTGGGGTCTGCAGTAATAGAAGGATCCCTGGAGAGCCAACTTCACTCTCTACCAGGTGTGAAGAAGAAGGAGCACGGTCCTCTTGGATTCTGCTGAAGAGGACATGCCTAGGGGTGCTGGAAAGAGTTGCTGGAGGTGGATTCCAGCTTGGTAAGAGAAAGTGTTTTCCAAGAACCATGGATATCCACAAGGGTGGGACAACTTTTACCATAGTGAGCTCCTCAACACAGGGAAGTCTCAAGCAAAAGGTGCACAGAGGCTTTTCAGAAAAGGTCTCCAGCATGTAATGGGGACCGAGGATCTAAAACAGACCCCTTTCGAACGCTTCTACACTGCTGGTGGGAACGCAAACTAGTGCAACCTCTTTGAAAGACAGTGTGATGATTTCTGAAAGAACTAGAAATTGAGCTTCCATATGATCCAGCAATTCTCCTATTGGAAATATACCCAGAGGAACTCAAATCGTTCTACAAAAAAGATATCTGCACACATATGTTTGTTGCAGCTCTATTCACAATAGCAAAAACATGGAACCAACCATGTTGCCCATTGAAGCTGGACTGGATAAAGAAAATGTGGTACATATACACAATGGAATATTATTCAGCCATAAAGAAGGACAAATATATGGATTTCGCAGCAACTTAGATGAATTTGGAGTCGATCACACTCAGTGATCTATCACAGAAACAAAGAACAGAGTACCATATGTTCTCACTCATAAGCGGAACTTGAACAATTACAATACTATAAGAAAGCATTTGGCAGTAAAGGGAAACTGTCAGGGAAGGAGGGGTGGGATTGGCAGTGGAGGGAAACTGCTAGGGGAGGAAGGGGCATACCTCATTAACAAGTATAACTGCATAATCAATATTCGTATTCCTGACCCTGAATTGCATCCCACATCTTTATAAAAATAAAAATTAAAAATTTTTTTAAAAAAATGCCCCTTTCAATGTTAGAATTTTAAAATTGTGCAGTTCTCTCTGTGTGTATACATATGTAAACACACACAAATCACTACATTTAAGAGTGGACCTATAAGCATACTTTTGCATGTAGGGGTATATATGTAGATGTACTTACCTGAAGAGAGAGAGAGAGCACAAGCAAGGATAAAAAGACTAGGTAAAAACAGATGCCTGCCTCAATTTCAGAAAGGCACAAATATGACAGATGGAGAAAGAAAATTAATTAGGCCTTTTGGAAAAAGGCCTTTTGGGCCCTTTCTTTGTCCATGAGAAATAACAAGGTCAAACCAACAATCACAAAAAAAAACTCAAAGGAAGGAGGAAAAGGGGAGGATGTAGGGAAGAAAAAAAACTCCAAGGAGAGGAAGTAGAATCTAGGAGTTCACAGAACTCAGATGCAAGTGCTAGGAGCTAAAGCCCTCCAATCAATGAGATGGATCTCAGGTGGTCTGAGATGAGAACTCCCCCCCCCCCCCGCACGGCACATAGTAGCTTCCAGGCATTACTTGGACATAAAGGGTCTCCTCTTTCCTCCCATCTGGTTCATATTCTATCCCAGGGAAGGACAACAGACCTAGTTGGACCAACTGGACAGTGGCAAGAAGTATGCCACATAGGTGCCTTGTCATTCAACAGGAGTGTTCTTACCTCCATGATGTGCTCCAGGATGAAGAGAAAGATGTGTCTGGGATCTGCCGAGAACATCCCACCATACAGTTTCTCCACCAGCTTCTGGGTGAAGTAGGAGACATTTGCAAGTGAAGGGGCAGCAACAGCTTCTGCACTGGGCTGAGACTCCTTACTGCCTGGAGTGGGTGGGGAAACAGGTTGGGTTAAGAGTCTAAATGGACTTCACTCCAAGCCCCTCGTGGTGACCAGCCACGTCTTGTTTACCTCTGTGTACCCCCATTGCTCTAGAGATGGAGTCTTATACTTAGTAGGTACCCAGTGCACACATGTTTATTCAAAGTAAACCGTCTTGAGTAATCTGCTCTGTGATATAAACCAAGTGGTGAGAAAGCAAGTAAGGAGAAGCATTTCCCCCAACATCCCTTCCCCTCCCCACCCCCCACCCATGACTTTTGGAACAAAGATAGCAGAGGATGTAACACCTGAGACAAAGGAGCAGGCACAGTGGTGACTGGGTCCCTGCTACTATACTGAGCAGAGGATAAAACCGTAATATTAACGGTCTGTCTGTGCCCACCAACAGCACAGGCCCCGTGCTCAGACATCTGTGTGATGACCTCAGCTAACTCCAGAACAACACTATGAGCTGGTCACAACTGTTACTCACAGGTCCAGGCACCTCACCAGAGTCTCACTGCTATGTGACAGAGCCAAGACCAGAACTAAGATTGCCACCCCCACCCTCTTCACCACTCTACTATTCACCCATATTTCAGATACTACATGAGAAAGGCCAAAAAGTTGGAGTTTCTGAGGGCGGGGCAAGGAGAAATCTAGAAGATGTGTCTTGTCACTAGGCATTCCTATGGCTTCGAAGTCACCAAAAGGACTTTTGTTCACAGTTGTCAAGAAGATACCCTGGAATTAAGGTTTTTGAATAAAGCTTTAACCTTAAATTCCGAAGGGCAATGGCAGTGTCTTTGCCTAGATCAATTTGTTTAAGAAACACTGGCTATACACTTATTCTGCCTCTTTGCACGAAGGTGCAAAGAGAAAGATACTGAACAGAGGGATGTTAAATTCTACCACCTTGACTTCCCTTGTAGGAAGTGGTCCATTTATACTGAAGCTAGTAGATAACTGATTTTAGTTCAGAAGACAGAAGAACTTTCTGTTTCTGAGTAGTTCAATGATGACAGGGGTGTCAAGCAAAGTAGTAAGCATCTCTTCACTGGGCACTGGGGTATGGGTCATTGAGCTCTTATTTTGGGTTCCTTCAGATGCACGACACCCAGGTGGAGGTGGCATCCCATTACTGGGGTCAGCCACTGTCAGGCATGCTGGCTTTCCTTCTTAACTGGCAGTGGCCTTATGTCAAGCTGCCCCACTCACCTCTAAGTACTGGTGCATTGACTCCACTCATTACGTGGAATATTTCCATGGTGGAAAGCAAGACTTCAGACTGGAAGTCTCGCTTCTGTTGGCTGGTGGCATTGTCTGGAGAAGCCTGGAAGAACAGCCCGGGACTGAGACAGCAGTCTCATGGCCATGGTCCACTCAGTGTCCACTGCCCCCCTTGTCTGACTGGTGTACTGATGTCACAGCTGCCATGAGTATAGGCTCCCCTTTCTCCAGGACACTGTCCTTTGCTGACCAAAGTACCTCTCCCAGGAGGTGACACCTACTTCCTAGGGTGAGGAGGCAAGTGGGGGGAGCCCATAGCCCATAGCCACCTGGCAAGTGCCTCATGATGGGGACAACTCTGGGCAGCAGAAAGCACCCCAACACCCCTCTTGGGGCCAAGCTCCAGCTGAGACCACCTCTGAGCTAGTTTCACCCCCAGCTCTTCTGTTTCCCTTACTCCTTCTTATGAGAGTACCCTCCCACCTAGTGAGTCACTTCCATAAAACCCGCCTCTGGCTCTGCTTCTAAGAACCTGTCCTTCTATCTCCTCTTACTTGGCCAGGGTCTATAGTTCACAGACTATCCCCTTACCCCCATCGCTGCAATCTCAGACTGTCAATTTCCCTTATGCACCCTGACCTTGGGGTACCCTGACCTTGCTGTGCTCATCCCCTTACAGGCTCCGCAACACAAGGCCAACTCCACCTTTTCCAACCCACCTCCAGGATCACCTCCAAGGGCAGCCACTGCTTGGGACTGGTGGCCCCAAGCAGGAGCTCCCTCAAGAGGAGCTGTGTGAACTCCCTTAGTTGCCTTCGAGCAGGATGTGACTTGGCAGGAGCCTGGTGACCCTCCACAGTGCTGTCGCTTTTAGTTGGGGCCTCAGGACTGCTGGCGTTCCAGGTGGACTCAGCTCCAGCCCCCTCAAAGACAAGAGAACCCCAGTATGAGTGGCCTGCCTTGGCTCAAGCCATTCCACACCGACCTCTGCCATGTACATGGGCAGAATGATCGCCATACCCAGTAACATATAAGAAAATTGAGACTCCACACAGGTAGACAACTTACCCAGGATCCAGTCACTTATAAGGTGGACTGCTATGGTCTGAGAACCCGAAACAGACCCTTGTTTCACGAAGAAGCTAAACCACAGAGTCAGTGAGGTCTGCGGTGCTCGGTGATGAAACCCAGAATGTGTGGGGGGCAAGTTGCTTCACTTCTCCCAGCCACAGCTCCCGTCAGTTAAACAAAGGATTTATAAGAATGAAATTAGAGTAGAACAGCTGTGGCAATGCCTGGCACCTAGTAGATGGTCAGAGAAAGTCAATCTCTGCCTTGTGATAAAGACCCCACCATTACTCTTGCCCAGGCTCTGTTAATATTGACAAATAAGACTCTAAGGTGAACAATGGAAAACCAGTTTCCTCAAATCCCTGAAGCACTTGGGTATTCGCTTTCTCATTTTATATTTACAAAATAATAGGGAGATGAATGAGACAGGGGTCATTACCCTCAAATATGTCCATGAGGACATGGGGATGCGGGGAGACCAAATCACACGCCCAAGGACACACAGCCAGGGACTCCTGACTCCCAGCCGGTGAACTTCTTCCACGCGTTCATCTGTTAGCACCTCCCTTTGCTCATTCATAAAATTAATGCAGCCATTCTTAATTAAGCCATAAAATGAATTTAATGGCACCTAGGGAGGCGGTGACTGCATTAATTAGCTCCATGCGGCCTTGACTGGAAAGATGCCATATAAATTCACAGCAAATCGAAGCCTTTGGCCACCAGCCTTCTGTATGAAGAGGATCTGTCATGTTTTCTGTGAAACAAAGACCTTGTGGAGCTGACTTGGAACTGGGACAAGCAAAGAGTGCCTTTAAATTGGAACCAGAAGCCCCAAGATGGGCCCTGGTTCCTTCATGACCAGCTGGGGAAGTGACTTTGGGCCAGGCTCTCCCCCAGGTTGGAACTGCTGACTGAGGAGAGGAAGAGCCCTGTGTCAGGGTGTGCACCTTAGCTGGTGGGGGCACTCGGCTGGAACCTCGACTCAGCAGATGGTGAGCCTGTCCCTCGGGCATGGGAGCTAAGCTGGGCATCTGGGTTGAAAATGTCAGGGGGCCCACTTAGTGCGGATGGCAAAGGCAGCCTGTAGCCTTGCCCTTGTTCTCTGCCTATTCAGGGCTACCTGGGCCTCTGGCTACAGGTCTCACCTATCTCCTGCAGCAAGCAGTCTCCCTTTGCTCTCGATTGCACCTTTTTTTTAAACTCTTACTTTTCTAGTAAGTTACTTTAGTTTATATGAATTCGTCAAACCATTTTAAAATGTTTTATCTTTTTGCAAATTTTCTAGTCTTTATACTTAGTCTTTTAATTAAAACTAGTTACTCTTAAATTATAGTGAGCCATCTAATTTTATTTTAAACTGATTGTAATGGAAGAACACAACTTTGGGGTGAGAAAGTGGGGTTTAAATCCTGATTCTGTCACTTGTGCATCGTGTGAAGTGCAGCATATTTCATTCTCTCAATCATTCTGGAATATAGGTCCTATGGGCCCCGCTAAACCCAGAGGAAACTGGTGAACACTTCTTTCTCTCTCTAATTCTCAGCTTCCTATGACTGATATCACCTTCATTGGGTGGCTGTTGAGGTTATATGTAAAGCTCCAGGTTCAGGAGATGGAGGTTGTCACCATGGATACACTTCTGGGAAAGCTTGGCTAAGGGAGCATGTTGTTTGCTCATTTGGTCATTTAGCATATGGTTATGGAGCAACCATTCCATGCCCAGCATTGTGCTTGGCATAGATTATAAATCCTCCTATATATCACAGTTTTCTTTCTAATATACCCCTTTAGCTACAGTTATAAATTTGCAGACGTACATGCTTGCTCAGAGGCTATCTGAATTTCCGCTTTCTAATACACAAAGGTGGGGAACAGGCGCGAATTTCTGCCCTCCCTTTTTCTATACCTGACATTTTGGGCAAGTTCTCACCTTGCTCCTTCCTCTCAACTCCTGATGTTCTTAGCCTATTTGAGTCCCACACAGCCATGACCCAACCACCCTCTGACCTGCTGGGCCTGGCTATGGGCCTCAGATGCACATGTTTTCCCATAGCTCCTTCTTTAATCTCCGCACCCACCCCTGCCCAGCACACAAGATCCAAAACCTCATCCTCAAGCCCAAATCAGTTCTTCTGCCCTGCCCACCCTTGACTTTTCTGGCTCTAAGCTTGACTTCCAAGAACCACTGACTGGAAAAGGATCTCAGTAGTAGCCCAAGGGGCCTGCAAACAGGAAGAGGGTCCCAAGTACAAAAGGTCAGTGGGATTCTCTACCAGGCCTGTCCCCTGAAACCCACCACCCCCGTGCATAGGCAGCAGGCTTCTTGGAATGGGATTCACCGTCGTGTATTGTCAGTGTGTGGGTATTCCATACACAATTAGATTTGTTCTACCATCAAATTTCTCATTACTGAGACCCTTAACAACTCAAAAAATTTATTGAATCTCAAAGTTAAAAATGACCTCGAGCTGTATTTTAACCAAGAAAAGGAAAATTACCCAAGTTGTTTATTTAACGTTCCAGTCAAATTGATTTAAAATGCATTTTACTTTTGGTGAGAGGGAAAGAATTGTGCTCTTCTCCCTTGAAGGATGATGAAGCTCATACCTACTCTCCCCGGGGTGGGGCAGTAGCATGGCCTACCTTTTGGGTTCCAAGAGGGAAGGTGGCTGTGGCCAAGGTCTGGAGGAACTCTGGGGCTTGCCATGCTGGGTCCTGGGGGTAGTTGTGGTGCACAAGGCTAAGGAACTTCAGCACACTGGCTGGGAAGGACTGTTCCCAGGCGCCGTCTTCTGTACCTGCCAAGGACTGAGGCACACTTCATAAGAGGCATTGCATGGCTGCACAACAAGCACTGTCTCACTAAGCCAGAAGGATTGAAGTCTAGAAAGAAAACTCTTTTCTGAGACTTTCAACAAGATGTATCATTACAAAATACCCAAGTCGTGGCTCAGCAGTGAGTACTGGTCATCACCCGGAGAAGTGTTTAATACAAGTAGACACCAATATAAGGGTTTCACATATTTTTCTTCTCTCCTCCAACAACCTTCTGAGATAGGTATGTTTATCCCTGTTTTATAGATGGGAAAACAGAGGCTCAGAGAGAGGTTCCATAGCTTGCCAAAACAAAAGTCAGCCAGTGGATAAGAACCAGGAATTGAACACAGGAAATCTGGCTCTGAAGTCTGACTACCTTCCCCCTATGATCTCTGAGTGATTAAACACAGCACTCTGTGCTCAAGAAATGTGTCCATCAAATGTTACCCTAGTCCCACTGACTTTCCCACTATAGACCCTGCCCAGGCCAAACCTGGGCACACCTTGTTTGAAGGGAGAGTGAATCCTGTTGCAGTGAGCTGGCACTCAGCATCCTGAGATGGCCTGGGCCCCCACACTGTAACCTCTCTCTCCCTGGTCTTGGCCACATGGCTGAGCCTCCACCCAGAATCCTGGCTACACACTAGTGCCCTTTTAGAGCCCAACTTCCTGGCCCACACTTGCCCAGTCAGTCTTTCCAGAGACTGATACTAACCCAATATACCCAGTTGCTGCCTGAGGTCCTGCTGTCCTGAGTGGATAGCCAACTCAAATCTAATTGAAAGAAAGGCAATACACGTGATACTATTAGAATAATATTTCCAGGATACTGTGAAAATTTGGCATGGGCTGGAACAGGCAGACAAAGAGAAGCTGTTTCTACAGTCACCTGCATCTGGGTTTTCTTCCAAACTGAAACAGTTTGGGCATGTCGTTGAGGCTGTGAGGAGGGGGCTGAGTCATTCTCTACAAGAGACTAAGTAGATATTAGCTGGTGGGATGGCTATGTGCAATGGCTGATGCAACTTTTCTGAGAAATGCATACAAAAGAAAACTCAGAATTGATCAATGCGATTAATTATCACAATAAAATACCGCTCAACAATAAAAAAGAACACTAATGTGCCAACAATATGAGTGACTCTCACAAACTTGAGTGAAAAAAAAATGTAAAATAATACATACTGTATAACTCCATTTATATCAAAAACAGGCAAACTAATCTATGGTTACCACTGAGCAAGAGTTTATAACCAAAGAAAGTTCAAAGCAAAAATAAAATCAAAATCTGAACTTTTGGAGGAAGGTATGTTAGAGCTATCCACTGCAATTAAGTTTCTAGTCTTTTTATTTTATCCTTTTATATTTTTGCCTTTTATATTTTGATACTTTACTGTATTTGATAAGGGATGCCTTCATGACAGATATCTTCACTTCATTGCACCCAATAGATCATTGAGCAACTTTGTTCTAGTTATATATACACATATATTAGCTCCCAGAAGACTGAGTTTTGTTTTTTACCTGGTCTAAAAAGTAATGTCTTTAATAAAGGAATTCAACCTTTTTGTGTTTGCTATTATGATGTAAATGTTTGGTCTTATATTGTTAACTCTCCCAGAATATTATATATTTTCTTTATCATAGATGCTTTTATGTGATTTATTTGTTTAATTGATTCTTAATACCATTAACTGATTAGATAGGCAACTGATTCTCTATTCTATAAACAGAATATATACATCTTTTCAAGCACCCTCAACATTAGCCGCATATTAGGAGTACAATGGAAACATGAATCAATTTCTCAAAGATTAAAAAAATACATATATCGCATAATCTGACCAGGGTAAAAACAAAACTAGAAATAGATAACAAAGATAAAAAACCAAAAAGTTCAGCCTCATGGACTTGAATCGAATATAAATCAAAGAGATTCTAAGACTGTAGTCACAGAAATTCTAGCAATCAACAAAAGATGAAGATGCCAAAGTCAAAATCTTAGAAATTGACAGAAAAAATAATCAGGAGGCTGATAAGTGCTGAACCCAAAGCTGATTCTTGAAATAAAATCACAAACCTTCAGCTCTTTAAGTAACAAGACAGTCAGGTAAGAAGAGAACATAAATATAAACAGAAAATAAGAAAAGGGAAATACACAGAAAATGAAGTGAGTTAAGAGACACAACTTGCACAATTAAACAAATGAGAAATTACTTTAAAATATCAATGAACTAAACTGAGTCAATAAGACATTTAGAAGCCTAAACAAATCAATAATAATAGAAAAATTTAGCCCTAGGCAGTTTCATAGGAATAATTTAAATGCTATCAGAATCAGAATCTTAAGATTTATCATCTTTTGCAAATCAAAACCACACTGAGATACCACCTAACTCCAGTCAGAATGGCAATTATCAACAACTCAAAAAAACAGCTGCTGGAGAGGGTGTGGCGAAAAGAGAACACTTCTACACTGTTGGTGGGAGTGTAAACTAGTGCAACCTCTGTGGCGATTCCTAAAAGCTCTAAATATCAACCTCCCATATGACCCCACAATTCCCTTACTGGGAATATATCCTGAAGAACTCAAATCACTCTATAAAAAAGATACCTGCACACGTATGTTTATCGCAGCATTGTTCACAATAGCAAGAACCTGGAAGCAACCATGCTGCCCATCAAAAGAGGACTGGATTTAAAAAATGTGGTACATATACATGATGGAATACTACGCAGCCATAGAAAAGAACAAAATCATGAATTTCGCAGCAACCTGAATGGAACTAGAGTCTATAATACTGAGTGACCTCTCACAGAAACAAAGATCCGAGTATCACATGTTCTCACTCATATAATGGGCCTTGAACATCCAATGTAATACTATAAAAAAAATGACCGACAGTTGTGGGAAACTATGGGGGGGAGGGAGATGGGATTAATGGTAGCAAATATCTGTCTGGGGACGGGGAAACATCTCTTATCAACAGGGTGCCTGAATGAAACATATTTGTATACCTAACCCTTAACTGTACCCCACAATATCATGATAAAAAATATTGATTAAAAAAATTCAACATCCATAAAAAAAAAGATTTATCATCTTCTTGAATATAAACAAAGGAGAATAGTCTTTTTAAATATAAAACTGGCATAATACTGAAATCATACCCAACAAAGATATAATAAAAAAACTGCAGGCTAATATCATTTATAACCATGTATACAAAATCATAAATTAAATATTTAAAAACATAATAAGGACAGAATAACTAAATGAAGTCTGCAAGAATGCAAAAAAATATTTTGATGCAATTCATCACAGGTAACTAGTTAAAAGAAAAAAAGCATATTATCATCTACTGAGGCCAAAAGAGTTACTTTTTAAGTTTTTTTAAAATTCTGTTTTTAAAAAATGGCAAAAAGTGGGATCTGTACCTTCTCAATGTAATCATGTACACACAGAAAAATTGGCAGAAGATATAAACAGACAGCTTACAGTAAAATAAGTAGAGATACAGTCAAATATATAAAGTTAGTTAATAAGCATAAGAAAAATGGTTTCAACCTCTGTAATAATAAAGGCAAAAGAACTCAACTATGAAACTATCATCAGTTTGGGCATGTTGTTGAGGCTGTGAAGAGGGAGCTGAGTCCTTCTTTACAAAAGACTGAGATAGATATTAGCTGGTGGGATGGCTATGTGCAATGGTTAAGGCAATCTTTCTAAGGAATGCATGCAAAAGAAAATGCATGGTGTATGCTTTGATCTAAGATCTCACATCCCAGAATTTACACTAAGGAAGTAATCAAACTAGAGATAAAGAATACTTTTTTTTTTTTTTGAGTTGGAGTATCACTCGGTCGCCCAGACTGGAGTGCATTGGCCGCTCCTGGCCACCGCAGCCTCGACCTGCTGGGCTCCGGCGATCCTTCCACCTCAGCCTTCCAAGTAGCCGGAATTACAGGCATGCGCTACCACGCCCGGCTGATTTTTTTATTTATTGTGGAGATGAGGTCTCGCTGCCCGGGCGGGTCTCGAACCCGCGGGCTCAGGCAATCCACTCACCTCAGCCTCTCAAAGGCGCGGGATTACAGGCTGAGCCACTGAGCCCGGCTAAAAGAATACTTTTTAAACAACATTCATTACACATTTGTTATAACAGTGAACACTCCAAAAAACGACATAAATTCCTATCACAAATATAGATGATTCTCATGTTTTTCCACTTTATCGACATGAAAAGATGTCCACAAAATGTTGATTTAAAAAAGGCAAAAGGAGTATATGTGATCTCATCCTCTGTAAGGATACGACAGAATCTTGCAGCGGTATCTGGAAGGATACTCCACTAACATCCATGGTGGTCATTTCTTGGATAGTATATGTACTTTCTGCTTTTCTCTTTTTTGTGTACTATTAATGGCAATCATGTATCATTTTACAAAAGCAATAACTTGCTCCATATAATCAAGCCTCCAATTGACCTTGACGTCTACAGAATGAGGCCAGAATCTTTTAGCCTCTCTCTCAATTTCTTGCTGACCTGGCTCACCATGGATTACTTCTATTCACAGGACACATGGCCTTTGCCTCAGTCTACAATCACCTCTCCACCCACCACCCACTTCTAGTGGACCTGGAAGTCCCAAATCAAAGTCTGCCTGCTCAGGAAGCCTCTCCACACTGTGCCTGTAGCTGGTGGCCACCTGCCTTCTCTATAACAGGTCTCCCTACCTTACAGGTGTCGTGTGAGCAAGGCAGATGTAGACTCCTTGAGAGGAGAGGCACTTCTTCCGCCTCAGAAATGTTCCCTCTGACTGAAGGCAGTAAATTTCCCAGCAAAGAAAGCCCAGTGTTCAAATAAACAGAACATAGCTGTCTGCTGGTAAGAGCGCATAAAGCTTCTTGGGAACCTTTAGGCCAGGTTTCCAGTTATGCCCCTGAGTCATCTCTAGGATGGTATCTTGCCTCTTTTCTGAGCTTGTTAATTACCAGCTTTACTGGGAAGTTGCTAGGAAAGGTCAAGGTGACTCTTCCAAAGAGGTGCAGCATGTAGGGAATGAGTCTCACCTGGTTTATGGTGGCTTTCAGCATTTCCAGGAGCAGCAGAGCACCTTCTGTGCACAGCCCAGTCCGGAGTACTTCTTCTTGGTGGTGTTTCTGCAGGAGCCACTGGAGCATGGCATCAAGACTGTCCTGGAAGAGGAAGCAGGGTCTGTAAGAAGACCTATGGCTGCACACAAAGGGGACCAGCTTTGCAGCCAGTGCATTGAGTTTCTCAGGGGGTCCCAGTGGGAAAAGCAAAACAGCATAGTAGCAGCCTAGGTAGTTAGCCCATATAAAAAAAATCTCAGCCTAGTTGTTGGTGTGTAAGGGAAAAATGCACCTCAAAGAAGGTGCTGAAAAATCCCCTGGCAACTTGCATCCAGTTGAGCTCTTTTGGTCTGATATCACAATGTACCATCAATGTGCCAATCAACATTAATAAGTGAGATTAATAAGACATATGAAGTGAGATTTTTATAAGTGAGATTAATAAGACGTGAAGAATTCAAAGTTTTCAGGGAAAAGTGAAAAGTGCAGAGGAGAAAGCATGATGTTTAGAATCAGGATTGCCTAACTTTGCCTTTTTAGTAACTGAGCTCAGGCAAGCTATTCAACTTCTTGGCAGCTCAATTTCCTTGTCTGATAATTACATTATCTACCCCATGGGATTGTTTAAATATCAAGCAAAATAAAGTATGTGAAACATCTATTATGAATCCCATCACTTAGTAGATGTTTGTTTTCTACAATAGGTTAGAGAAATAAAAATTCAGCGTCTCAATGACCTTAGTGTAGTATAGAAAGAACTTTATTTTGAAGTGTAATGTATAATACTGTTAGCATGTATCAAGATTTAGGTTTGTTAAAGATAAGAATATACAAGAGAAATTAATTTTTTATCCTTCTCTTTGCAAAGTCATGACCCACCCACATTTCTATTCAGTTAAGTTTAACTCAGTGAAATTAAGACCAAGAAGCAGTTTCCAAATCTGCTATTTGTCAGGTTCCCAGAAAGGCAAGTCAAGGCAGGGTCTGTTCTTCAGGGGCTCAGCACCTAAGGAAGCAGACACATGTAAATATGTTGGTGCCATCAATATAAGGTAAAGGTACCCTGAGGCACAAAGAAGGAAATGGTCTCCTCTGTCTGGATTTAAGGAGAAGGTGGTTGAACTGAGTGAGAAGGGAAGACACCTCCACTAGGCAGGTGATGGTGGGAAAAGGAATCATTAAGGCATGGGGCGGGCGAGCACAAAGCAGCTGGTCTTACTGGGGAGATGATTTAGGAGAGTCACAGATGAGAGTAGGTGAATTGTAGGCAGGTTAGAAACACAAGTCAGGTTCCCAGAGATGAGAGATCTTGGTGCCAGCTATGGAGTCTGAACCTGATCTTACAGGAATGAAAACCAGTGAACAGCTGAATTTTGTAAGTGGGAGAGTGGATGGTGAGAAGGTGCAAACAATGAGTGTAGACTCCTCTTTGGAGAAATTGGGCCAAAGAAGGACAGGAAAGTGATAAACAGGGCAACAGTTGGTCAAGAGTATATGAGTCAAGGGACAGCCTCTGGTTTTAAGTGGCCTATGAGGAAAGAGTCAGTAGAAAAGGAGAAACTGAGAATACAAAATGGAAAAAAGAGGAGTACTACAAGGTGATGTCACTCAAGGAAAGAGCTGAAGGAAATTAAGATCAGCCTTAGAAAGCTTCCTTGACCCAGTGATGGTGGAGGGAAGGTGATAAAGAAGGTTACAGTGGGTGGTGGAGGATGGGATGCTGAGGTAATTCCACCCCGAGCATCATGTCATTTCCCTAGTTGTGCCCAGAAGGAGAAAGATTTTTTTTAAAAAAGCTGATCCAGATCAGAGACTTACTGGGAGGAAGGATGGGAGACAGTAGTTGAGGAAGTCAAGGGGCTGATAGGAGGGCATTTGAAGAGCTAGCCAAGGGGCACAAAACTGCTAGGGAAGGAAGTGGGTCAGGCATAGTACAAGTTGAAAGAAGTAGAGGTAGGTAAGCGAGAGGGTATTAGGAAACTTCCTTAGTCATAAGGAATTAGAAGATCAAGTGTGTTTCTCCATGCAGGAGGTGCTCTGAGAACCTACTTTGGGCTCGTCCATCAGCTCTGTGAGTGGTGTCTGCAGGAAGAAGGTGGAAACGATGAAGTAGACTTCCGGAATGTGAACGTGGTGGGCCAGAAAGTCGTTCAAGACGCGGAACCCAGGAAGAAGGCAGGGGCTCTGCTCAGGCAATGGAGGGTGGCTCTTCAGGTTGTCTATTGATCAGGTGGAAGGGGCAGAAAAACCAACTGAGAACAGTTGTTGAACAAGGTAGAGACTGGACACATGAGAAAATACCCTGCCACCCTGCCATAAAAATATGAATAGAAATATACATCACACACAAATGAGAGCAAGGAAGTGTTCAATAATAATTTCTTTCCCTGTTCCTGACATGCTCATTCATTCATTCAAAAACAGATACTTGGGGCCTATCACGTAGGAGGCAACAAGAACATTTTGTATTAGGCAACAAGGACATAGAGTTTTGACTAAATATACAGAATTTCAGCTACTCGTGAAGTTTACAATGTAGTAACGTGGACAGGCATTAAGCAATTAAATATTCAACTAAATAATGCTTATAAATTGTGATAAGCATTATGGAGGAAATTAATAAGGGCAGAGAGAATTTAAAGAGGTGCTCTAATTCAAGGGGACCACTCTTCTCCTATAGAACATGGCATTTGAACTGAGATCTGAGGATGAAACCATATCAGTGGGAAGAGATACCCCAGGAAGAGGAAGCAGAGTATAAAGTACCCAGGAGAACAGGGATAAGCAGCCTGTGCAGAAGGGAAGGCAGCCTCCAGGGCCTGAAGTGCAGTGGGGCTGCAGGAGATCCTGCAAAGGAAGTCAGGGTGGGGTGGCGAGGTTGATCTGGGTGTAGGCCTTGGAGTCAGGGCTTCAGGTGATTCTACTGCACAGAGCCTAGGTTCCAAGTGGGAAGGGCCACTTGTCCTCACTCACAGCCCGGGAGGAGGTAATGCCCCACTTCCACTTCCTAGAAACTGCCACCCACTCACCCATCACAATGTCCATGCCCTCAGTGCTGCGTTCCACCCAGGATCCCGCAGACAGGCCATCTTTAAATCTTCCACGGAGGGTGGGGTGTAAAAGGAAGTGTAACAGCAGCTTCAGTGCCAGCACAGTGGTGCTGGGATGCAGGTGGCCCTGCAGGAGCAGCAGGAACCAGTCTGGCCCTAGGCTCAGAAACATCTCTTCCTTTGACCTGAGGGGAGATAGAGGTCAATAAATGCAGTCCATTATCTCTTAGACCATAAACAAGTAACAAGTTCAAAAAATATGAAATGTCTAGCCTCATGAGTAACCTAGAAAAGGTATGTTAAGGTTAACATTTGGATATCACTTAGCAAAGTACAAATTGCATTTTAAAAGAAAATGCTGGCAAGATGGCTGTGTAATGGCTGCATCTGTCTGTGAATGACTGCTGTGTACATTGGCTAAAGCTTTTTAAAGTAACTGGAAACAGTGTACCAACAGATGTAAGAATGTGCATGTCCCTTTACAGCCCTACCTCACTAGTACTCATACAGAGTATGACAAGTCATCTATCTAATTTAGCTACCATCTATGCAGTCATATAAAGCATATAATGATTATTCGCCTCCCTTTTTAAAGACACTAATCAAAATTAATCTAAACAAAATAGTCCAAAATTTATACATTTTTATCAGTTTAGGCAAAAGAAACCATAATGAACTATCACTTTCAAAAATGGACTTTAAAATGATGCTGGGGGTACTGGAAGAAACTAAAGAGCAGGACAGAGAATGGTCAATCTGGCAAAAGGCAACAGGCTCAGCAAAGAACCCAAACTGCTGGGAACCAGAAAAGGATTCCTCTATGCTAGACAGTGTTCTCAGCTGACTCACTAGGCATTATAAGGGTGTGGCTGGTATCCAGTGGAATGAGCACTAGACTAGGAGTGAAGAGACGAGATAGTCTTTGTTTCTAGCCCTCCCTCTGATATTTACTAACGGGATGACTTTGGCAGAGCTCTTGATGTGCTCTGGTCATTTTCCTCAGTGATGACATTGATGGTGGTGATGGCAATAGTGATGAGATCAGTTAGCCCACAGAATATTTACAGTATCCTAAGCACCATTGTCAGGGCTATCCACATATTAATTTGTTTCATCTTCACTGTAGATATCTACTGAAGGTATTGTTTTGGTTCAGAACGATGAGTAGAGGAAAGCATGCAGGGCTTAAGTATCTTCCCCTGGGTCCCAGAAGGTCTAGATGCCAGAGTCCATGTGTTAAGTACCATACTACATTCCCTTTCAAAAAGCTGGAAAAGGAAAGACTGGACTAGCTCATCTCCAAGGCATCTTCCGGTTCTATCATGTTCTGATTCTAGGAATGTAAAGACTTGTAGTCTGGTAAATTTTTAAATGTTATTTGCTAAGTTGCTTATTGATGGGTAACTCCTCACCCCACCCTCAAACACATACACACTAAGATGTAAACCCAGCAAAAGCAGGGATCTGGGCTAACTTTCTCAGTGCTTCAACCTAGGATCCTGGAATAGTGTTGACATACAGTAGGCACTCAACAAATAGGTGTTGAATGAATGTCTTCAGGGTTAGAGATAAAGCAGGCGGGCAGCAGGGGATAGTTAATGGAATCAGCTTTACGATTGCACATGATTTTAAAAGTTAATTGAAGGTAGATTCTTCTTTTTCCAACTTGGAAAAACAACTAACTAACTAACACTAAAAAGCAGAAAAATTTGGCAAGCGTATTTCTTGATAGATGTTACTTAGGCTATTTCTCCATCCTATTGTCTGCCAAGTGCAGGACATCAACATCGGAATTTGTTAGAACTGCCAAAACAATAACAATTATACTACAGTAATGGTGACAAAGGAGTTTATTGTAATTATACCAAATCTGCTTCTAGTTACTCATGCCTGTTTAACATTTGCATCAGAATATCTTAGGGCAAGTTCTGGTTTATTGGGTGAAGAGAACATAATTTTCTTTCTGACTAGTGCAGGAAACACACTGCAGAACACAGACTCAGAGATGCTCAACTTTTCATTAAGAAAAGGTTTAATACTGCACCTTCCATGAGACAATCTCGTGCCAAATTGCTCTTCCTGGAGCTACTTACTCAGGGGACAAATGAAGTTGGGGAGAAGATATTACACTGAGCAGCATCTCCAGCAACTGGTTTCTGAGCCAGATTGTCTTTCCAGATGTTTGGCTTCCAGCTACAAAAAAGAATTCAGATTTGAGAGAAAACGGATGTAAAGTGACATAATATTTGCTGCACTAAGCAATCATATTCACCAAATGCTTAGTCCACCCAGAAATTGTGGCATGGATGAGACTCAAATTTTGGCATTTGATTTTTAGACTTCAATGCAATGCTTAAAAAGAATTTCAGAAAATGTTTCTAAAGTTTCCTGACCTAGAAATGTCTTCAGTGCTGCTATATTATCAAAAACAAATACTTAAAATGATAACGGCAAACATCTTTCAGTAGATGAATCTATTTAAAATTATCAAATGCTGCAACATTTCATGAGCACCAACTATGTACTGGTATTATGTGAGTCATTGGGAACAGAATGGTGAAGACGATAGTCTTTGTTTTCTTGGTTCCTGCTTTCAATTTGCTTCCAGGCTAGGCCTTTTGTATATGTGTTGAACTAAAAATAGAACTTGAATCCTAGCAGAGGTATATAGAGACAGTAGAAGAAGAAACTTTACTTCTGAAGTATTGTTAAAGCCGTGAAGGGCATGTTAACTATGTTTTAGATGAATGTTTTAGAGTAAAGTCCATATGAAAAGGAAGGTTAACTAAATAAGCTCACTGTTGGCCCATTTTACAGTCATTCATTTCCTCAGTTGCCAGTCATTTTATAACCAATTTAGGGCACACACATCATGCTGCAGAAATAGGACTGATAAGGCAACTTGGAAAAGTCCAATCAGCTTTTCCCCTTTTTAGATTCTGGCTCCATCTCTGATCAAGCTCCTAATCTCAATGAGCCTCAGTTTCTTCATCTACAAAATGGAATTATAATTTCTGATTTGAGACTTGACCTACGGGTAAGAGATAATATAATTTATCTAGATTAAGTCATGATGTCCAAGAGACTCTTTTGTGATAATGAGATTGTTTTATACCTGCCAGTCCAACACAGCAGCCACGAGTCTCAGGCAGTTATTGAGTACTTGGAAAGTGTCATGTGAGTGAGGAATTGAATTTTTAATTGCATTTCATTTTAATTAATTAAAATATAAATTTAAAAGGCCACAGGTGGCTTAGAGGCTCCCATCTTGGACCACGTAGATCTGGAGGGCAAAGGACAGAATGGTGGTAATTGTTCAGTCACACCATCCTAGGATAGGGAATGCTGAACAGATGTAGCTACTGTTCTGCATCTGGCTGGGGAAAGAAAGAGAGACTCAAAGAAATACATCACAAATCTGTGCACTATGGTAAGACCAAGGGGCTTCAGAAGAACAGAGGAGGTGACTTAATCTGGCTTGGTGGGACTGGGAATGGCTAGTCTAATGTGAGGATGGGGTGGGGAGCAGAGGTGGAGTAGGAGGTAACATTCTTCTAGAGAGAACAGCACATCCAAAGCATGGACAGAGGGCAGACCTCCACAAGTCAGGGTCTGCAAGTGCTTCAGAGTGCTGGAGTTGGGGGAGGGGGGAAGATTCAAACAGGAAGGGAGGTGGGATCCTAAGTCCCAAGTGCTGGTCTACAGGGAACTGATTTTATCCTGGAGACCTCAGAAGCTGTTCCAGGTTTCAAAGCAGGCATACACAATTTGATTTGATTCGTGACCATCATCATAACACTATTGCCTCACAGGCCACCATCTGGTAACCACTGGTCAGCTGTAGGTGCCTTCCTCCTTTGCTCAGCCCCTCCCTCTTCAAAATGGCCCCACATTGTGTGCCTCTCAGGGACTCCATGAGGGTTGTCTTGCTGCCTTCAGACTGGTAGTTGGGAAAGGTCTTCTCACCAGGCAAGGAGGGGTCCAGGGCTCCATTCACACAGATCGACCTCTCGTTCACTGATGAAGGCTTGAGGGTGTACACAACAAACAGCCCGATCCTTTATGCAACAGGGAGAGAAGGACAGGCTCAAAGGCAGGTTCATCCCATGTCTACTCAGCACATGTTTGCATTTTCTATGCAGACCCACCACATGACACTTAAAATGATAGTTTAAGGGGAATCACTCACATTACACTGTGATCAGTACAATAGTTACAGAGACTTCTAAAATCTGTCAGGATTCATGAGAGAAGTTAACTTTGGCTCTGCCAGATTAACATGTCAGATAATAATGGGAAGGAAGGCTAAATGTGGTGGCAGCTAGGACTGTCATTTGGGAAGTCTGTTTGAGGCAGGCATGTTGGGGCATCGGCTGGTAAGAATAACTGTACTCACGAAAATTACTGAATTCTTGGACATAATAGGGGAGTTGAGCACCAGGGGGCAGTAAACACATAGCCCTGCTGGGGAAAGCTGCCTGTCCCATCCTAACTCCAGCAAACCTATCCATTTTCCCAACTCTCAGCCCTGAAGAAAAACCCCTGGAAGGTTCCAAGTGATGTTGGATTGAGCATGGTCAGGAGAGAGCTGGAGCCTACACTGTCTTGTAAAATGGTCTTGGGGCCCGCTCTTCACCCTGAAAAGCTTGGCGCAGTACCTGAGCAAGTCCTGGATGCTAAAGTGGCCCCTCAGTTGACAGCCCAGGATGGCAATGATGGTGGTGATCTTGGAGGGGGTAAGGCTCGGCTCATTGAAGAGGAAGACAAGCTTGGGTATAAGCTGTGTCTGGTGGGCAACTTCAGCATTCCTGGGTCCTTCCCTAGTGAGCCCAGGAGAGAAAGAGAGAGTAAAAGCTTTTACTGGAATGAACCCAATTTGCTATGTTTCTGTTAAAAAGATTTTCCAAACTGGGCTTGTTCTGAGGCCCACTGACTCCAATGCTGTCTTGACAACTTGTCAAGATGCTGTCAGACATCCACTGAAAATGTGCCTGCCAAGTGCCAGAGTTGCTTGGGCATGGTCCCTTCTACCCCACCCCCCATTCCCTGGAAACCACCTTCAAAAACAAACCCCAATTATTGACTTTTACATTCTGAGCCTCAGGGAGAACAAGTGCTGGCCTCAGAAAACTCAGAACAAAGACAACAGACACTCATGTGACTCAGGAGCACTTCCCAACAGCCAAGAGCGCAGGACCCTTTGCTAGCCTGTCTGGGTGTGCGATCTTCCTGCCTGCCCCAAACCACAAAATGGATAGACACATCGCTGAGAGCCAAAGGAGAAAAAGACAGAATACAAGTATCCACATCCCCCTCCCTAGGATAATCACAAATCCAATTTCCAGTAAATTCTACCCCCTCGAAGAGAACAGCTCCCAAGATAAATGTCTATTTCTTAGAAAACAATAGGTTTAAGTACAGGAAGAAAGTAGAGGGTGAAAGTGAGCAGACTGCTCCTCTTGAGAAGTTTTTTTTGGGTATTAACACGTTAACTTCTGCTGAGCTCCACAACTCTGATACACCAAAGAGGCAGAAGCAGCCCAATTCTGTGTGTAATTTATTTCCATAGGCCTGTCAGGGAAGAAGTGCATTCCTCCACCCAGAAGTTCCAGGGCCTCTGTTGCTCTTTCTTATCATAGCACCGAGTAGCATGTTTTTCTGAGTCCTTTCTCCATAGGATTGTGGCTTATTTTTCTCTAAATTTTAGCACTAAGTAGAGTGTAAAATGTAGTGAGTTTATAATAGGTATTCAATAGTAAGTGACTGAATGAAAAGATGTTTACAAATATATTCAAAACACCAAACGTGCCAGTGATCGCTAGAATAGCCTGGACCATGAGGAAGCAGGTGGAGGCTTCCTTGTCTCCCTTCTTCCTTATTCTGATCACAGTCCCTGGTTCATTTGGGAGCAAACTCTTTCTAACTCCCTTGCATCCACTCCAGAAGGGAAGCCATGCTCCTGGTCCAATGAGACTCAATCCTATAGTTAGGACTATGGAATTAAAAAAAAACCCTCTCTCTGCTGACTGTGCTAAGCTAAGGATATCCTCTGTGGAGCTGCTCAGGAGCCACCTTGCTGGCACAGAGGAAGACCTGGCAACATGAAGGCAGCATGGGTGAAGCAGAGACAAGAATGATGACAGAGATCAGAATAAATGACATGAGCACCACTCAGCCATGGGAGGAGATCTGCCCCTTTCAATTTCAAGAGTCAATGAATTTCCTCTTTATTGGCCTTCTTTTCTCCCTCTATTCTTCCCTCCCTCCTCCCTTTCCTCCTCCTTCATTTCTTACTTTCTTAAGTTGGCTTGAGTGTATTTCTGCCACATGCAACCAAAAGAGCCTTGGCTAATTCAAAAGCGGCTTAGAGAATTCATTTAAAAGGAGAGTGGGCCTTTGCTGGCTACAGGTTCTGGGTCTCCAATATATGCTAGTCACTGGGGCTAGAGAGGCCTCTAAGACCCCAGTATTTACCCTCCTGAGGCTCAAGACCATCCGAGGAGACAGATCTGCCCCACATGTTAGTCACTGGGAAGGATGTACTACCACTGGGGGACTCAGTGCTCTGGGAGCTGGAAGGAGTCACTGGCCATCCTGCCTTCTCAGTCTCTATTCTTAGCATTGCTTTTTGTCCTAACTCTCGGGCTGCCAGAGCCCAGCCTACCTTGGTGATTGAAGAATCTCCACAAGATGGGAAAAGAGGGCAAGCTCCAGGTTGTCTGCAGTATTCATCCAGAGCTGGAAGACAGAACAGACACACAATAAAATGAAGGCATGGGAGGAGAAGGGTTTTCAGGTAACATGAGAAGATCTGGTGCTGGATCTGACTTGGAACTACCTGTACCAGCACTGGAATCAGACCAACTTTCCTGACATCTAGAACTTGCAGGGTGTCTCCTCTGGAGGAAAGCCTTCTCTCCCCATCTCTGCTGCTACCTGGTGCTTCACTGTGGGTCTAGAGTCCAACTAAGGACACTTGCATGAACCATCTCCTACATCTGTCTAGCCCTGAGCCCATGGCCTGAGGAGTCACATATCAAACACATCTCATCATGAGTCTGGATAAGAGTTGATGAATCCTGCAAGGCAAATGCTGGTGTTCCCACTTTATAAAGATGAGAAAACAGAGATTGAAACAGAACAATTAAGCGTCAGGCTCTGCTCACCACCACCAAGTGGTAGGACTGGAAATAGAAGCCAGTTCCTGACTCTCAGGTTTTATGCTGTATTGACTATGCACCCAACTTGGCCATGCAACACGTTCTTCAGTTGCTGTCTGTACAACCTGCAGCCTAGCTCACATTGTCTTCTCCTGCATGACAAAATATTGAGTGACACAAAGACATGAAATTCATTGAGATTTAACAGGTGAAGTTTATCACTCAGGTTATTTTCATTCATAGTAAACAAATACAGCTGCAAATTGTCTCTCTGGTACAGAGTTGATGGCCTGCCTTCATGTCTCATTTTTATTTCCCTTTTGAGAGCTGTACTACTTTTCATCTCTAAATACTGACAATTCCTAAGGCCCAGAATACAAAAGTTTCAGACACAAGATTATAAGAGTGCACCTACATAGCAGCAAAAAGACCTTTCACTTATAAATGACATCATTTCTTGGAGGCAAGAGATGCCATACAGAGACCCAAAATATAATTATCTGCATTTAGCAAATAAAGAGAGTGAGGCTCAGAGAGACCAAGTCACTTTTCCATCACAACATTTTTTTTAATTGGTAGAAACTGGTTGCAAAGCTAGCCTGTGTGACTGTGAAGCCCATTTCCTTTCCTCCACACTGGGTCTCCACAGACATCTCCTGCAGACAGTGACCCATAGGGTCAGTAATCAACTTTACTTGAAATGAAGCAGGTGCCTGTGGCTTTGTTCTCTTCCTGAAGAGAGAATGCAGAAGAGCCCCAGTGGACACAAGCTTATCAGGAGACCTAAGAAGTCAGGGACCATCCCTCCCCAGTCCCCGGGTCTTACTTCACCTGTGCCACATGGTAGACATTGAATAAGGATTCATTTTTTTTGGTATTTTATTTTATTTTTATTTTAAAGATGTATAGTACAATTCAGGATTAGTTATACAAGTGATTATTGTGCAGGTAAAGTCTGGGCCTCCCCCACTTCGCCTGGTTGAGATTAGGTACTCTTACTGATGTTACGCACCCCACCCCACCCCCTAGGCAGTTTCTGGCTACTGCCAATCCCTTTCTTATAGTATTACAGTAAATGCTCAGGGTCTGCTTATGAGTGAGAATAAGTGGTACTCACTTCTTTGTTTCATTATTTTTTAAAAAGAGTAAATGAACAATAAGCCAAAGTAAAATAAGTGGATTGCTCTTAAGCTAGAAATGGACAGATTTCCAGTCCCTATAAGCACAGGCACTTCCCAGAGATGGGGCAGCTGCCATTTGGGACAGCTAATATGGACAAATGCTGCTCTAATGGGGGTATGTGTATCCAAGAATGGCACCTCAACATACACATCTGTAGGACTCCAAGAGCCCTACACACTTAGGGTATCTTTAAGGTAATCATTTGACAAACAATATGACAGGCTCATTGTTGTGGACTGAGAGAACTGAGAAAATAAGACATGAACCTACCAGTTTAGTGATGCCACACTCTTTACCTCTCCACAGAAGTTTCCTACCTCTTTAATTTTCTCTCCAGAACATTAGAACAACAATAAGTTGCAACACACATTCAAGGCTGCCTAGCTCTTCTGAAAATTACTTATGTAATACCAAATATCAAAACTTGGAGATGCACAGACAATTGAATCTTTTGATTGATAGCCTGTGTCTCTAACCATGTAGTGTGGTGTCTGGATTCGATTTGTTTGAATATCAATTGGATACTGTGTCAGACGTTGCTCTCTTCCCAATGCTGAGACCACCTCACTCTCAGCGATGAGCTGGCCTGTGCCTTTGCTAAGAAACCAGAAACCTAAAACTTAGATGCCCTTGACTTTCTATCTCTCCCCCCTCACAACTTCCCGTCGCTCCCTGCTTCTCAACTTCCTGTCTCTTGTTCCCTCACAGCTTCCTGTTCCTCCTAGCCTCAACATATTTCCTGTCCTTCACAACTTCTTCCTCCCTTTCTCATGCCAGTCATCAAGGATTTTACCCTTTCTCATGTGACTCACTTTCTTGTTTCCAAACCCCCCATCTCTTTTGAGAACTTGTTTCATTAATAGCATATTTTCTCATTAACATGTTAACTGCCCCATTTTTATTGCCTCTGCCCCCTCAGCCTACACTCAAACTTAAGTCACTGCCATCTTAAAACACAAAAGAATGAGTCTTTAAGCTCCCACCCCTCTATTTTCTTCTTCAAAAATCCACTGTCTCTACTTTCAGCCTCCTTGCCATGCTCCATGTCACTTCTTAGTGGCTTCTAATCCCACTATTTACTTTTCACTAAGTTTGTCAATGACCACCAATGTCCAAGTACAGTGCACACATTCATCCTCATTATACTTGGTGTAGACAGAACATGCCTTTTGGGAAACTTTTTGAAATTTTCTCCTCTCAATCTTTAAATTTTATTTTATTTCGTTTCATTTTACTTTTTAGCATCTAATTTTTGGGGTTTTTTTTGGTTTGCTTTTGGTTTTTTTCTCTCCTTAATCTTACTTTAAAAGTACCAGATCACAGGAAGGGGTAGTTTACTTAGGGTGGAGTGGAATAGATTGATGTCCATAAGAATTCTAGGAGCAGGCAGTGGGAGCATGATGGTTTCCCACAGGTTCAATTCCTGGGCCATGCTGGTGGCAAGGACATCTTGGCACCAGGCTGCCTCTGGGCATGATCATAGCATTTCAGAAGGAGCAGCAGCTGCTGCTGCAGTCAAGGCAATATATCTTATTTAGTGGAATCAGAGGACTATTTATGCACATCTCCTTTTCCATTGTACATGGGGAATCCATTCTCCAGGCCTTGCTGGCTTCCTCCACAATCTTCCCATCTATCTTCAGATCCAGGTCCAAGGCATTCATCCTTGCCTAGTTCAATTATCTAATACTATATTCAGAACTTTTGTAGCTATATTTATGAATAAGATTAGCCTGTACTTTTTCATTTCCTGGACTGCATTTTTTTTTGGTGTTCTGTTATCAAGAATAGTTTATGAAATAAGCTAGGAGTGATCATCTCTTCTGTGTATAAGTCTAGACATGGCTTATTTCCTAACTGGTAGGATTTTCCTATGAACTCTCTGTGCCTGGAGTTTCCTTGTAGCTATTGTTTGTTTCTACAGATTTTAAACCAGTAAGTCAGTTTATTTGATGGTTAAAGAATCATGTAGAGTTGATGATTAAATTTATTATAAAGTTAAGGTCAGATTCATTGTTAACTATTTTTAAATCTAAATGAGCTCTATGTTGTAATTCTTAAAAGTAGTTACAATATACAATGTCATAGTGTAGTTAAATTTCATTACACAGTCTGTACTTTCTACATTTATTTATTATTTGCTTGTACTTTTAAACTGGGAATTGATCACTTAGTCTATATTAAACATCAAGATTAGCAACAAGTGGCTTTAACTGTTTTGTGATTTTTCAAGGGGTTACTTCAATTTGCTATTTGAATGAGATAAAATACTTCATTTATGGTTTAAGAAATGGATAATATTAAATTGTCATTCCATTAAAAAGTCTTCTAATTGAGAAAAAAAGGATCATTGATGTTTTTAAATTTCATTTTGAGTGAACTCTGAAAATTTATATTTTCTATGAGATTGTCCAAATGAGCTAAGTTTTCTAATTTGTTGGCACAGTTACTGATTCTACTTTCTAACTGTTCTCATTCCTCTGTAGAGTGTTCCCCCTTTCCTTCCTAAGATTATTTATTTGAGCCTTCTGTCTTTTTTTTTCTTGGCCAGTCTTAACAGAGGTTTGCCTATTTTAGAAAAACCAGTAATTGGCTTTGTTGATCCTTCATATTTTTTCTTTCCTATTTTATTAACTTGTGTTCTGATTTTTCTTTTTCTTTCTTTCTTTCTCTGAGCTTTGTTTCCATTTTTGTTTTTCTGTTTGACAGTTATAACTTCTTGATCTGGAGTCTCTGCTCATTAGTTTTAAAATGTTCTCATTTTCTAATATACATATTGATGACTATAAATTTCCCTCTGTGTCCTGATTTCTGCAGCAATCCCATAGTGTTTTGACATATGTTTCTCTTGTTGTTTGGTACTAAATCACTTCTAGTTCAAGTTATGATTTCTTCATTGACTATTCTCTTTATTCCACTACCTTTGCCACAGCTCAGCTTTCAAAGTCTTCTACCTGGTTTTCTGCAAACATCACATGACTAACTCTCCTGTCTTGGGGCTCTTACCACAACAAAATGCCTAAAACAAAATGCTCACATGTCACCATACCTAAAACAAAATGCTCACGTGTCACTCTTCAGTTAACATGATAGCTATCAGAAACTTGGCAAAATTTATAACAATCTTAAAATTGTTTAGAAAGGCTTTATTCTCACCATTCGACTTAATAATTTATTCTAAGAAAATGTTTTTAAAAGTAGAAAAAACATATGCACAAAAGTGCAGTCTATAGCAACATTTATAACAACCCAATATAGGAATAATCCAAGAATTTGACAATAGAGAGATAGTGAAAAAACCAGGAACTGTTCAAGATAAAATATTATTCTGATCTCAGGACAATGCTTGTTTGTGTTTATAATAAAGATATCTATATGTTTTTGTGATGTGAGAAAAGACAGGACTCATAATAATACCTACAGTATAATCATAATTGTGATTAAAAATATATGTTACACATGAAAATTACTACAAGAAAATGCATCCAAATTTGACAAGAGTTGGCTAAGTCTTGGAAATAAGAGGGTTCTCCCCTACTATTCTGTAATTTAAAAATATTCTGTAGTAAGTATATATTAATTTTTAATAAACAAAGAGAAGATTTTAAGAATACTTCTGCAGGTCCCAACATGTATAGGCTAAAGCATTGTCTGTGCAATTTAGCACCTTGGGCCTGACTTCTCTCCTTTGCCTTCCTGTAACCAACACAGACCTGTAGGCCCCTGCCAAGCTGCTTGTCTCAAATGCCCATGGCTGTTCTCACCCTGAGTACAGTATTTGCAAATAGTATATATGTTCCCCCTGGAAGGTTATTTTTCCTTGCATTCTGCTAAAGTCAGTCCCAGAGTTTGTGATCCCTAAAATTGAACTGATTGCTTTCTCACTATTTCCCAGATGCCCTGTGCCTGCCTCATTTTGGCATATAGTACACTGCAGTGACACCTTTACTGTATCCCGGGACCATCTGGCTGTGAAGAAGGGGTGGGTCCCAGTTATCACTGTCTGCAGGACACAGCTAGTACCTGCCTCCAGGGAGCATTCGGTAAACAATGCTTCATGAATGGATTGACTTGCCCAAAGAGGCTCTGTGCCAGACTCCTCACTTATCCTCAAGTGTGTCCTTCTGTATCTCCCGAGTCACCTCTTTAAAGGATCTTTGGAAATAGCAAATCACTCTTCAAAAGAATTGGGATCATTTTTGCTTAATCCTCATATGTAAATGCTACTTTACAGTTTTAAAATCCTTTCTTAGATACTATCTGGCTTAACCCCATGATAGCCTATGAGGAAAAGATAATAGCCTTCATTTCACACAGACGAGTGGGACTCAGGGAAGCCAAGAGACTTGCCTGAAGTCACACAGCCCATAGGTGGCAGAATTTGATCATAAACTGGGGCCTCTGGGCGGGCCTTTGTGGTTTTCCCTCCTCACTAACATTATGATTATGAAGGAAGCTGACCTACTGGGTCTAAAGGAAACAGCAGACTTTCTTATACGATTTTACCATCACACACACAAACACACACACACACACACACACACACACACACACACTCCTGAAAGGTTTTACCATCACACACACACACACACACACACACACACACACACACACACACACACACACACACTCCTGAAAGGGTAAGGGCCAGTCTCCGATTTACCTCAAAATTGCAGAGGATGTGCTGGAAGATACCGATATTGGTGATAGCAGATGACCTGAAGCCCAGTTCTGCAGTGCCAGCAACTGAGAGGACCAGCTGAAAAATCCGATGGTTTAGGAGAGAGGCCTTTTTCCTCAGGAGAAATGCCATTATCTGAAAAGGATAAAACACAAAACAGTTTCCTCATGAATGTATCATTAGAACTTTCTCCTCTATCCACTGGTTGCTACCAGCATCTTTGGTCAGTTTGGTCTAAAAACCCTCCGCCACCAGCCTTCCCATGTTCTCAGAAGAAATACATGCACCTAAAAATTTAATGTATTTTGCCTACTTTATCATGCTTTTCAGTGTTACTTATCCCAAGATGTTGTTGTCTCTTAAGAATAGCAATTATAGAACCATTATCTTAAAAAAGGAAATACATGTTATCAACTTCTGTGGCTACTTTCCTGCCAATGACCACGTTTCTGTTCTGTGACTGGACTGTTCACTGAGAATTACTGGTTCTCTTTGAATCTTTTCCATGTTTCCGGAACACTATTCTCCCCTGGTTTCCTCTGTTGTTCCTCGGAGGTCTTTCTCATTTTCTGTTACTGAATCTTTTTCATGCATAACCATCTCAGACATGTTACTATGTCACCAGAAAGCCACCAACTGCCCATGAGCTGTGCCATCCTGTTATACCCACCCCTGGAAAGCCAGCAAAGTGCAGCATCCATCCCAGCATGGAGGCACCAGGGTCCCAGTCATAAGCTTCGTGGACCAACCCACTTCTAAGACTAAGAAGATAGTTTGCATCAAGCTTCACATCTCTGTTGACCTTGGCCACACACAAATTAGGGTGCCCAGCCATTGGCAGCTGGGGCCTCTCCCATTTCATCTGTACTCACAGCTCCTCTAACACACGGCTGAATTCCCCATCCCACATCTTGCTCTCTTTCCCTGTTCTCCCAGACACAGTCTCTCAACACACCTTTGGGAAACCTCGATCAACAAATACTCAACACTTTTTCAGGTTATTCAAGAAAGCTTTTTGATGTATATGGAATATAACCACGCTTTCAACCCTCTCAAGACACAATTAGGATGGCTGAAAGTTGCTTGAGAAAAATCGCATACTTCGGTCAACTGGTTTCACTTTACGTAAGTGGTGTCAAATGTCAAACCAGTATTCAGCTGGGTCTGACAGTCCGGCTCTGCCTTTCTCATAAGGTGTTTTTACTTATTCTACAGGCCATAATTTCATCACTTCTCCTTTCTCCTCTGATCTTTCTTTCTTTCTACCACCTGACTTAGTCATTGACTGAGAAGATAGAACCCATCGGACATAAATACTTTGCCTTTCCTCTACCAAATCTGCAAATGCCTGTGCTACATGTTGCATTCCTTTCCTTTGCAAGCAAGGTCTCTCTATCTAGCTTCTGGATCTTTCTCAAGGACACTGCTCTTTGGGATAGCTCTTCTCTCCTGGTTTGTGTTTGCGCTCTCTCTCTCTCTCTCTCTCTCTCTCTCTCTCTCTCTCTCTCTCCCCTCCCCCCATCACTTCCTTCCATGTACAAATATGCTCTGGTATTTCCCATCTTACAAATAAATAACCCTTCCTTGATCGCTAATCCCTCTAGCTCTGACCCCACTACTCTTCACCAGCAAATTTCCAGAAAGCACTATCAATACACTGCGGCTCCATGTCCTCACCTCACATTCTCTCTTCAACACTTTTTAGCTGCTGCTGTGTCCACCTGTTCATCTTCCTCAGAAAAGCCACCAGTGAATTCTAGGTGGCCAAATCCAACAGGGACTACTCTAATCTTAGTTTGCATCATTACTTATCAACATTTAGCATTGTTTGACTATATGTGCCTTCTAGAAATGCTTTTATCTTTCAGATTCTTGGACAAAATTATCTTTGGTTTCTTGTCCCTCTTTCTTCTCAATATTCTTTACTGGATTTTAATCATATTTCCAACCTCTATGTGGTCACTTCCTCATTGCTTCCTCCTCAGTCCTCTTCTCTTCTCTCTCCACTCTTTCTCATTGATGATTTCATCAATTTTCTTAAATGATGTCATTATACTAACAACCCTCACATTTATACCTCCAGCCCAGCCTGCCCTTCTGAGCTAAGAGTCATCTATTCACACTTGATAGTTCACCTTAGTGTTTCACAAATGTTTCCAACAGTGTGTCCCAAACGTCTTCCTTCCTTTCTGTCAGCGGCTTTTTGGGCACACAGCCTTGGCTGCTTTCCAGTGCTATCTGCCCAGCCTGCTCACATCCTGAGACCCTCCAGGTCAGGACACACTCTCATACCATGTTGGATTCTACTTAGTTCCCTGCATGAATCTCACCCCTCCAACCCATCTTCCACACTGATGCCCAAGGTCATTCTAAAGCGTCAATCATTCCATTTCTCTGTTCCAAATCTTCCTATGATTATCCTTCATGTCTGAATAGAATCCACACTCCTCGCAGTAGCAGAATGTCAGCACTCCCCTGCTCTCCATCCAACATGCTGTGCACTGCTCCATAATCATCCTTTCCTCCCAGTCATGTGGAGGAACCCATACCAGATCCCACGAATGTTTTTAATGTTAGTCTGGAACACTACCTTTATTCTTCCCCATGTTAAGAACATACATACTATTGGGTCTTCTCCAACTGTAGCAGCTTTTCTGTCCTCTCAATAAATCCTGCTTTCTCGCCTTCCAGCTGTCCGTGTCCCTCATTCTTCCTGGGCATAAGACAAGAACCTCGACCCTGAAGATCTGCAACCTGAAGAGCTGCAGAATATACGTTGGAAAAGCTGAGCACCCCAGAGACTGGTTTGCCAGCCAATAGAGCCAGCTGAACCAGGAAAGCCACTGGAAGAAGGTGAGACTCCAAAGCTGAGACACTTCGGGGGCTAGGCTTGCCAGCCTACTGAACCAGTAACACTCTCAGGGCTTGGCTTGCCAGCCCATTAGAGCTGACACTTCCAGGGCTAGGTTTACCAGACCCTCGAGATGACCCTCTCTGGGGCTTGATTGGCCAACCCACTGCACAGAATATACATTCTACTCATCACCACATGGAACTTACTCCAAGATCAATCACATCCATACCATATATCAAGCATAAACAAATTCCACAAGGTTGAAATCTTGCCATGCACACTCTCAGACCACAATGGAATAAAAATAAATATCAGCACCAACAACATTTCCCCAAAACCCACAAAGACATGGACACTAAATAGAATGATGCTGAACAACTACTGGGTCAACACTGAAATCAAAGCAGAAATCAAAAGATTCCTGGAAACAAATGAAAATGAAGAAACATCTTACTAAAACCTCTGGGACGCCATGAAAACAGTTCTAAGAGGGGAATTTATATCTCTACAAGCACACATCAAGAAAGCGGAAAGATTACAAGTGTAGAGCATAACAAATCACCTAAGGGAGCTGGAAAGAGAAGACCACTAAAACCCCAACTTTTACAGAAGAATCCAAATCACCAAAATTAGAGCCCAAATGCGGGACATAGAAGACAAAAATATCATAGAAAATATCAGCAAAACAAAAAGCTTGTTCTTTGAAGGAATTAACAAGATTGATGGATCTCTAGCCAGAATGACCAAGAAAAAGAGAGAAAAAGCCCAAATAAGCACAATCAGAAATACAAAAGATCAAACCACAACTGACCCCGAAGAAATACAAAAGATTCTCAGTGATTACTATGTACTTCTATGTGGAAACAAACTTGATAACCTAAATGAAATGGAGGACTTTCTGACATCACACAAACTCCCCAGGTTGAAACAAGAAGACATTGAGACAATAAATAGACCAATAACAACCCAGGAAATTGACTCTATCATACGAAAACTACCTACAAAAAAAGTGCCCTGGGCCAGATGGTTTTCCAGCAGAATTCTACAAAACGTACAAGGAGGAACTGATACCAATACTTTTGAAAGTATTCCAGGCAATTGAGAATGATGAAATTCTCCCCAAATCATTTTACAAGGCTAACATTACACTGATACCCAAACTGGGTAAAGATCCAACAAAAAAAAAGAGAACTACAGGCCAAAATCCCTTATAAACATAGATGCAAAAATCCTCAATAAGATTCTAGTAAATCAGATCCAAAAACACATCTCAAAAATCATCCACCATGACCAAGTAGGCTTCATCCCTAGGATGCAGGGTTGGTTCAACGTTCACAAGACCATAAACTTATAGTTACATAAACAGATGTAAAAACAAGAAACACATGATTATCTCTCATTAGATGCAAAAAAAGCTTTTGATAAAATCCAGCATCCTTTCTTGATAAAAACCCTCAAACACCTAGGTATAGAAGAAACATACCTCAAAATAGTA